GATACATTTGTTAGAATTGCATATGGATGCCATTCTTTCAAATCGTCTAGAATTGACCTCTAGGATTCAGGTACCAAAACATTGTGATAGCCTTGCTCATTTTTATTGCCACAAGTAAGGTTTGCACTTATATTGGAGTCGTTAAATATCATGAGAAAAAGATTCTACCCACATTGTAATGATATATATAGAGCTCTGTGAATGTTGAACTACATAATAGATGAATACGATTTCCGCAAATATAGTTTCATTTTGAGAATATTTTTGTATTGCAATCGATGTTGATATACTCCCCTGTACTGACTAATATTAATGAAATAATGTTGATTTATTATTGGATAAAAATAAAACAGGATAGAAAGAAATTTACAAACTAGACATGTTTTTCGAATAAATATTTAAAATTTAATTTAAAAATATAAAAATAATCAATTAATGTCTCAAAATTATTATTTACATATTAAAAAAGTTTAAAATACTTTTTTTTAAAAATCGCGGGAGAAATTAAATTGCGGTAGATTTTTCGGGAGATTTCCAATTGCCGTCGTTTTGCGGGAGAGAGATATTTGCGTGTAAACTAAAAAATTGCGGGAGTCCCGCTGATGGGGAGAGACATGGCAACCTTGTTCTTACTTAAAGGTTGCTACTGTCTATTTCTCTTATTAAAATTAGTTTTTGTTTATTGACTAGAAAAACTGATTGATGTAATAGTAAGTACTAATCTGGCATTTCTATGGTATGAGCTCACCCAAAAATATTTGTTTTTTTCGCATGTTGCCAATCGTGGCAATTTTATCTTATTTTGTCGAAAAACTATCTAATGAATTGAAGAATCAATGTAATAAATTTCAATTATTGATTTAAGTTCCAGATTAAATGCTTCCAGAAATTTGGTTGGTTTTACGCTTTAATGGGAGATATAGATTTTATTTCTCTTATAGTACGATTACCTTTTTGTGTGTGAAAAAAATGACTGAAGAATTAATAAATATTAGCGCAAACCAGCTATTTTCCATTCTATCAATAATGCCAAATTAGGCAATTTTTCTTATTTTGCTAATAAACTTTTTCTTTATACTGTCTCTTAAACGAATTAAATTATAATTAATACAGATCATCGATAAAATTTTCTGAATAAATTATTTCCGTCGCTTAAATCATAGATTTGCCAAAATTTTGTTACTAATAGTTTTACGAGCTACTATACTCGTTTAAATACTCAATTGGTACAAATAAAGCAAGAAATAATGATATAATTTACAATTAGTTCGTAGAACTATTCAGCCGCCAAATTTAACGGCGCTGATATTAAAATATATAAATCTTGTTTATTCCTCTGTGATACACAAGTTGAAGCATATAAAGAAGTTACTCAGAATTATCAAACTATTATGGTAATTATAGATATAAATAGCTTAAACCTTTGATTTTGAATGATACGATCAAGTTAGAATATTTAGAAAGAATTAAATAAAAATGTAAATATAAGCCTAAAAAATATCTAAAAATTTATTTTTAATTCTACATTCAAATGCTGGCTCAGAAATGAGTTTAATGAATATGATTAGGCGAAAAAATTTTTCTTCGGTCTCATTTGATTTATTAGAGGCCGAATTAATGGTAAAGCAGAATTTTGACATGAATTGCGAAGAGTTAAAATTTATTTCATATATAATAAACTTTTAAATAAAATAAATTCCTTCCGATAAATATGTAGATTTGGATCTAATTTTTATATATTTTGACTTTATATTCAAATTCAAATTTAAATTTGTAAATTATAATTTGAAAAAAATTATTCACTAATATTTATATATAAAAGGATTGCAGTTGTGGCGCTTTCCCGCTTTTTATCCTTTAGTCATTAAAAATCCCACATCACTCTTAGAATATGGGAGGTATGGCCGTGCCTAAAAATTTTTGCAATTTACAAAATGAATGAGAAAATTGAATAATACACCTATTTAATATAATTAAAATATAGCCACTTTTTATAATTATTTTTTATTATCCTTCATTTATATATTCCTATCAAAATTTAGAAAATGTTTTTAACAACCCCCCCCCCCCACCCTTCTCGTGGTAAAATATGTAAAAGTAAATAAATAAACACTTAACCCATTTTGCCCTGATTTCCCGATATTGGAATATCTTTATTTTCTTGATTTGGAACATTTTATATTTATTTTCAAAAAATCCTGATTTTTTTAATTCCATTTTATTAGAAAAAATGAGTAAAAGTGCTTACAAATTGAGTAGAAGCGTTTAGCGATGTTTTCACAAATACGCTATGATTTAAATTGAACTGGTATTATTTTTAAAAATGATGAAAACTATTTTACGTTTTTTAATTTTTTTTTATATTGTTTAGTTTGACTTGTGAAATCAGCAAAAATAAAAAATTAAAATAATTGAAGATCTAATGATTTATTTCCATAATTTATTCTTCATAAATATTACAAATTTATGTAATATAGAATATTTTGAATTTTTTTTTTGATTAATCATAACTTTGCAGTTATTTCTATTTATTAAAATGCGAATAGAAAAAAAAGGAAAGGTCATATAATTCAAATGAATTAGTTACTATTATATCAAAGTTATATCGATGTGCATTATCTCAAAATTGTAATTAGGAGGCATTAATTATCAGTAAAATTTTCTATAATTAAAATAATCTGAGAAAATCAATAAAAAATTCTTAGCTTTCAGTATATTTTTTTTATCTAGATTAGAAATAAAGTATTACTTTAAATGACATAAAGCACACTTTTAAATTTTATGTTGGGGGGGGGGAGGGTTAACTTATTCTGCTAAAAACTTAACCCAAAATGTCCGCTCCATACTTACAACCATGAGTGAGTGAGACCAGGAAGACTAATATATTTTCTATCACATCAGATAGAGGTTACATGCTTATTAAATAAACAATACGTAATAAAATATTCTTAAAACATTAGCGTTTATGATTTAAGAAACTTCGGTTGGTAAATTGATATTGAATATATCGATTTCACTTAAAATGAATTCACAATTTTCGCGGTCATGCGCTCGTTATAATAATTTCGCGCAAATACATTTGGGGTAGAAAATTCGCTATATATGGTTCGCGATTAAAGTTTCGCTATAACGAGTTCGCGATCAAAGTTTCGCTAAAATGTATTCGCTCTAAAGTATTCGCGGTTTAGGTTTCGCGGAAATAAATTCGCGATAATGAGTTCGCGATCAAAGTTTCGCCAAAATGTATTCGCTATAAAGTATTCGCGGTTACGGTTTCGCGGAAATAAATTCGCTATAACGAGTTCGCGATCAAAGTTTCGCTATAATGTATTCGCTATAAAGTATTAGCGGAATTGGTTTCGCGATATTGCCTTCGCTATAATATTCTTTCGCGATAAACGACATTCGCGATAAAAGTTTCGCGAAAAAGTGTCTCGCGATAAAAGTTTCGCTGAATTGACCTGATACGATTACTAACACCCAAATTCGTCATCCGGAATACCTAAGGGAGCAAGATTCAAGTTGCAAGACACCTGTCTAAAACCACTGTATAGATTCGAGTGGTTCAAACTGTAATAGAAACAATTAGCCTCAAAGGCAATTAAATATATGATGAATTTTAAATATATATATTATTAATTGTGTAAGACGATTAATTGTTTGTTTTGTAAAAGATATATTATATACGGCGGTACAAAATATAAAAAATAGTTAAAATTATAATAAAATTTGGTATCTCTATAATGGCGCAGTTTCAAATGGAGAAATATAATATAAAGGAGTGCAATATGGAAGTTTATTTATCAAAGATGGAATTCATATTTAAAATCGCAAAAATAGAAGATAAAAAATCATTTTTATTAGCGAATATTGGATTAGAGGTTTATTCTAAATTATTTAATTTGTGTTTGCCAAAGATATTAGAGGAAATATCATATGATGACATAATTAAACTTTTAAAAAATTATTATATGAAGAAGACTAATTTCATGTTAGAAAGATATTATTTTTTTAAAATGGAACAAGAAAAAGATGAAACCATCGTAGAGTATATTAATAAATTAAAGATAAAGGCAAAGACGTGTGAATTTAAAGATATGTATAATACAGTATTGCGGGACAAATTAGTGTCAGGAATTAATAATGGAAAAATATTAATGAAATTAATTAACACGCAGGACTTGACATGGAAAAGTGCAAAACAAATCGCGACCGCAATGGAGACTACAGAAATGATGTCGTATGAAAAATTATCTGCAGGGAAGGAGATAAATAAAATCTCAAAAACAGTAACAAGGGAGCAGTATGACAAGTACAAACCAGTATCAAAAATTATTTGCTATTGTTGTGGATTAGGAGATCACATAAAACCTAAGTGCCCTAATTTGAATGCCATCTGCCATAATTGTGGGATAAAAGGACATTTACAAAAAGTATGCAGAAGGAATCGTGGGAAGAAAGAATATATTCGAACGATATATGTTCCAGAAAATGAGCGAGAAAGTTTTGAGGATTGGGAATTTCCAGAGGAATCTCGAGAAAAATTTGAAGTGAAATTATTGATAGATAAAATTTATTTTTTAATTGACACAGATCGGCAGTCTCCATTTTGAATATAGAAGACGTTTACCGTTTAAAAATACCAATAACAAAAACGGATATTATTTTAAAATCTTATAATAATGTAATGATCAATATTAAAGGTAAATGTATTACCCGTTAATTATATGAATAAAGTTATATATCATGAATTTATTATTGTAAACAATGGGATTAATTTGATAGGTAGTGAACAAATTAAAATTAATAAAAATAAATCAATGTAATATAGTTAATGAGGTTTGGGAGGATAATATTGTACGTAAATTTTCCTTATTATTTACTAAAAAATTAGGTTTACTAAGAGGGTTTAAGGCCAGTTTAGCGGTAAAATTCAACCCTCAGTTTCAATGTATGAAAAGTAGACCGATACCATTTGAGTGGAAGGCAAAACTCGATACGGAATTACAACGACTGGAATCCATGGGAGTTTTAGAAAGACTAAAATACTCGAATATCACTTCTCCGATTGTGCCCGTATTGAAGAAAGATGGATCTTTACGAATTTGCGGTGATTTCAGACAAACGGTTAATGCAAATATTTTGATAGATAAATATCCTTTACCCAGAATTAATGAATTATTAGCCACACTAGGTAATGGGTGTAAATATACAGTATTAGATTTATCCGAAGCATATTTTCAAATAGAGCTAGATGAGGAGGCAAAAAAGCTGTTAGTAATCAACACGCCTAGTGGATTGTATCGACACGACTTCCGTTTGGGGTAGCCTCAGCGCCAGCGATTTTTCAACAAGCAATGGATTCATTATTAAAGGGATTACCTGGAGTAGCGGTATATTTGGACGATATAATAATTACGAGGGAAGCATTTGAGAGTCATAAGAAAAATTTGATAAATGTATTTAAGACGTTAGAAATAAACGGTATGAAATTAAATATAAAAAAATGTGATTTTTTTAAAGAGAAGATTGAATTCTTAGGTCATACCGTTATCGAAGAGGGAATTACGACAACAAATAAGAATGTCAATGCAATTTTAGACGCACCGTTACCTAAAAACGTTAAAGAATTACAAGCTTCTATCGGTAAAATAAATTATTATCAAAAATTTATAAACAATTTTTCGACTATTGCCGCTCCATTATATAAGCTTTTAAGGAAAGATGTGCCGTGGAAATGGACAAAATGAAACAATTGTAATTAATAAATTTAAAAAATTAATATCAGAAGCACCAATTTTAACACATTTTAATCCGGAAAAACCGATAATTCTAGCTGCTGATGCGTCTCAACATGGAATAGGATCAGTTATATCTCATATCATTAACAACGAGGAAAAACCGATTGGATACGCGTCTCGAACATTAAATGCTGCCGAACGAAATTACAGTCAGATAGAGCGTGAGGCTTTAGCAATTATATTTGGATTAATTAAATTTAAACAATATTTATTGGCAGACATTTCATTATCATTACTGACCATAAACCCCTAATATCGTTACTTAATCCACATAAAAGAATAACAGATATATCATCAAGATTAGTAAGATGGTCATTACTACTAGCAAATTATGATTATGAATTGCAACTTCAAGGGACAAAAAAAAATAGTAATGCGGATATGCTTTCCCGGTTTCCAATTGACGGTAAACCATCTGCTTGGGAAGAGTTAGATATTAATTTAATAGTATCGGATGCTCCACAATTTATTTCAGCGTTAGATATAAAAGCACGCACAAGAAATGACCCGATATTATCAAAGGTTTCACAAGATAATAGAGGAAAATCTAAAACCGTTTTTTCAGGGCCGAAATGAACTCACGATGGAGGCAGGGTGTATATTATGGGGATTAAGAACCATAATTCCAAAAAAATTACAAGTAAATATTTTGTCTTTTTTACATATGGGGCATCAGGGTTATACTAAAACAAAATTATTGGCACAAGAGAACGTTTGGTGGCCGAATATTAACGAAGATATCGAATTACACGGTAAGAATTGTGAATTATGTCAAACAAATAATCCTGGCAATAAAACGATCATAGGGAAATGGCCCTCCGCAAATAAACCATGGGAAAGAATTCATTTAGATTTTGCCGGACCAATTAACGGAGATATATATCTAGTAATAATAGATAGTTTTAGTAAATGGCCTGAAATACAAAAAATGACGACGAATAATTTTACTGAAGTAAGAAAATTGTTGTTAAGACTTTTTGCTATTTTCGGTTACCCCAATACGATTGTTACGGATAATGGCCCCCCATTGTTTATTTTGCAAACAATTATCAATTAAATGTATATAGTGCCCCATACCACCCTAGAACCAACGAAGAAGCGGAGCGGTTAGTAAAAACTTTTAAAAAAACATAATGATTATAATAAAATACAAGATTTTTTGTTTAATTATCGAAATACGCCACAAATAACCACAAAACAATCACCAAGTTCAATTATGCTTAAATTTCAACCCATAGGACCTTTACAATTAATAAAATCAATTTATCCTCATCCATATATACCTCAGTTACCAGGTTTTTTTAATATAAATGAAAAAATATATGCAAAAGATTTTAAAAAGGATAATTGGATACCAGGTATCATCGTTAAAAGAACAGGACCAATGACGTTTTTAGTTGAAACTAAATTAGGGGTATGGAGAAGACATATTAATCAGTTAAAACATAGGTTCGACAATTCCGATTTAAAAAAATGGAGAGGAGGGAAGAGAAGAAGAAACGATGCAAACTACACCACAAATGAATGAAAATGAGCCTATACAAAACTCAATTACTAAAGACATTGATCCTACACACGAATTGGTGACCAAAGACATTGACCCAATACAAGACTCAATAAACAAAGACACCATCATAAATGATAAGATGAAAATCGATAGTAATGAGCAAACGGTGGTAGAGAACGAAAGTACAAGCAGCCGTTATCCAAAACGGCTAAGAAAACAATTTATACCGTTTCAAATCGAGAGCCCAAAAAAGGAGAGAATAGATGTAATAGAAACAATTAGCCTCAAAGGCAATTAAATATATGATGAATTTTAAATATATATATTATTAATTGTGTACGACGATTAATTGTTTGTTTTGTAAAAGATACGGCGGTACAAAATATAAAAAATAGTTAAAATTATAATAAAATTTGGTATCACTATACAAAAGTCGAACTATCTGCTCCAGTGGAAGTACTTTAATATGTTTATTACATAATGGGCAGTTACATTTGATAAGTTGGACATAGTCTGGGGGGGGGGGGGATAAGTTTAAAATTTAATATGGATATCAGATAAGAGGTAGTAGGCGGGTCTAATCGGGGGATAATTTATTTGATATTAATATTAATTATTACTCTATGGCGCGTCTAATCGGGAGGGGGGATAGGGGAATATTTTTTAAATCCAAAATATTAATATGAAAATCAAATAAAAGGTAATAAAATTATATATGACTATTATGTTAAATATTAGTTATTTTTATAAAACCTTCGTCATAGTCCCCTTATTCAACTGAGTTATGGAGACCTACTACAAATACCCTTAGTGAAATGATAGTGATATGAAAAAAATATTTTCTCAAAAGAACTGTTCTCGAAAATTCCTTTTTTTTGCATAGGAATGTATCCTTAAATTATTTAATTGCTGCAATATCTTTCAAAAATCATTGATGAAAATAGTATAAAGTATTATATTAGAGCTTAAAGAAATTAGGGCAAATGTTGACGTAAAATTATGCAAATTATGAATTGATGAGTTCATATTAAAGCTTTGTGAATTTGATATTTGCATACCTCGACTTGACCAAAATATTACCATCATTCATATATTAAGTAAAAGAATATTATTAATAAATCTCTTTATCTTCTATTTGGATATTCTTTTAAGTTTTATAAATATTGGGCTTCTTGATTTATCAAGCAACCCTTACAAATCTAATTCTATATATTATGACCACAATATTAGCTTGCACACATACAAGGATATTTTTTTTCTTGAAGAAGAATAAAAAATTTCTCGAAACTATTCTCAACCTCAGAAATTAGATTAGATTGGTTAGATATTCTAAATATATACATAGGAATATTAAATCATTTAAAAATTAGTGAAATCTCAAAGGTAATGTTGTTAAATAGCCCGGCTTCCGATTTTTAAAAATGTAAGAATATTTTCGAGCATTAATCTATATTTTAATTTTTTAAGTAGAGAGCAATATTTTAATAATCAATAATTCTTATTTATTTTAACTTCAAAAATTACTTTTAAGCATTTATAAGGTAGTAATCAGCTAAGTTCAAAAAATGTAAAACTAAATTTAGCCAAAAAACTATCTTCAGCCAGAGGTTAATCTGGTTAACTACATTTATTTACAGCCAGCATTTTTATAAATTTATAACTAATAATTATATTTGACAATTTTATAAATTATTTAACTATGCAATTGTCAATTTTTTACAGTCACTAGACTTAATAAATTTTCATTTTATCTTATCGATAATAACAAGATATTTTTAAAGAATTTTAGAAAATTTTAAATATTGTTTTCTGCTAATTAAATTTTTGGCTATGCGCATGATTAGGATCAAATATTCAACAAAATAATTATACCAATCATTAATGCTGAGGTAACTATAGAAGAAAGTATTGCAAATTCAAATCAAATGTATTAAGTCGATAGCAAAGAAATCAATAAATCTTATTAATAAGATACACCCTACTAATCCAAAGTTTTGGGTGGACATGAAATCAAATAATAATAATAACAGAATGACATGTGCATAAGCAGCGGGTTGGAAGAAAATGCAGATGGCAGATTATATTTTTCAAAAATATTATTATTAATATTAATTTATATTGGTTAATATTTATTCCTATCTCATATATATTTTACTTTTATTTATCACATTCATCTACTAAGTTATTTTAATTAATTTTGATTTCAAGTTTTCCTTGGCGTAATATTTACTTATAATTTTCAGATATTAATGGCGTAATATTTATCTAAATTTCTAGTCAAATAATAATTATCTCTGAAACTCCTTGTCTAACAGGGAGAAAGAAATTGCAAGCTTGCCCAACGAGATGGAGTCTCCGGCATCAAGCAATAAAAGCTTTTATGGAGATAGAAGAGCCGATTATTAATGCTAATACTAAAATATAATAATGGTTTGAAAGAAATATTTCCTCAGAAGCATTGGATTCAATACTTATTCCAAATTTTTTTTCTCATAGAATGTATTATTTAATTAACAACTATTTTATGTAATACTTTTCAAAAACATGACATTGATATGATTAAGAAGATAAGAATAGCTGAGAGCATTTTATTATAACTCAAGGAAATTAGAGCTAATTTTGATGAAGAATTTCATATTTTATATGTTATTGTTGAGTCAAAAGCAGTGTTATACGTGTTTAATATTTGCCCCCTTCCACTTCCAGCAAGCAAGCTCATCTTAAACATTAATATAGGATCAGTAGAAGAGTATTGTAAAACAAATGTCCCATCTCCATCTCTAGACACATTTATAACCCAAATAAATGAATGGGTTTTATTTTTTAAATTTTTATCATAAAGATGTTAAAGTATCTTATGATGCCTTAAGCTGAATAACTAT